ACAGATCACTTAGCTCCATTGTTCACAGTTAAAAAACCAAACTGACGGTAGTAAGAAAAAAGAGCCGCGGCATCACAGTGCAGCGCTTTAAAAAAGCTGACCAATCAGCGCTGAGATAGCCGGGAGGCGGGGCGTCTCATTGGGATTGACGTGTCCCGCGTCCAATGAAAAATTCCGGTGGTCGACACCGTCCAATCGTGTGCGCGCTCGAGACGCTGTATCCAACGAGAGTGGATTTTCAACGAGCTGGAGAGAAAAGCGGAGAAGGGCAGACATCATTTCTCTCTCAGCGTCTTTGGACTAACTGCACGAAGGCAGAGAGACAAGAAAAAATTATTTTTCCGAACAGGAACATAAATATCTAAATTAATTCACTCAGTTAGCCATGGCCGACACAGCTGTTGACACGACCGCCACCGCAGAGGTTACCGCCAAGGTGCGTTTCATTCACGTTTTATTCCGTCGGTGAAGCGTCGTGTGAAAAGATTTTGGGAACTTTTCTAAGTTGTATTTGTGTTAACACGTTGTCTAACCGGCTCTCGTCGAACATTCCCGGATTATTCGACGGTTCTGGCCCACATTGGCGTCGTTTTTACTTCGCGTAAGTTCAAAGAGCAACTAACGGGGAAACGTGAATTACCGTAATGAGTTCTCTAGAAATGTGCCTTTTCGGCCGCCGTTGTGTGAATTATCGGTGCTTTTGAACGCGTCCGCAGCTAATTGTTGCCTGCAGACTGCACCGTGTGTGATGTGGGAGCTGAACGCGTCCTGGTGAGCAGACAAAGCGGTCCGAGGCTCCAGCTGGAGCGGCGGAGCTGTGGGCGGGAAGCCGCGGCTCGGCGGCGGCGCTGCGCGGTGTCCGCGCGGCGCGGCACGGACACGGCGGACGCTCCCACCGAGCACCGCGAACACGCTCTTTATTCACTCACACCCGGTCGGAGATGCGTTTTTATACCGAGCCTTTAATTAAAACCAGACGCGGCGCCGCACTTGAAACGAACTCTTTGAAGAACATTGATGTAAAGCTTTTATTTTGTAGGAGCTGAAGGAGAAGAAAGAAGTAGAAGTGGAGGAGGAGAAGAAGACCGACAACGGGGACGCACCTGCCAATGGCACAGTGAGTTGGATCCGAGCAGCAGCAGCAGCAGCCTCATGGCCTTTTGTCTTAGCGCCCCTCATCATGCAGGTGTCGCTGCTCCGCCTCCCCCTCCTGCTCAGCTGCTCTCCACACTGGGCTTTGTTTGGGTTGTGAAATGGCACAGATGTTAGCTAGTGAGCCTTTGCATTGGTTTCCCAGAGCCTGGTGGCTAATCCTCTGGGGAGGTAATAAAAACTCCAAACACGCTGGTGTATTTAAAGTGTCCCCAGAGGAGTCCGTACATGCACGTCTCTGGGAGGATTATTTGAAATATGCTCGAGATGTTTGGGTTTGTCTTTGCATTAGTGCCCATAATCCTGCAGCATTGTTCACACAATTAAAAGCTCACTCATGACATTTGTCTTGTCTTCTCTTTCCCCAGAACGGTGCCGATCACAGTGACAAAGTGAAAGAAACCACAGAGGAGGAACACAAGAACGGAGATGGTATGTTTAAATACAGCAGGGTTCAGGAAAAAGACCAAAAAAAGAACCAGCCGTAGATGACTGTGTGTCTTCTGATTTATCTTCAGTAGTCCTTTGTGTGGCCTTGAATTTCTGTTTTGCTGTTGACAAGTAAATGAAGATTTAAATGCCCCCAAAGTAAAGGCTGTAATTTCTGAACTGTCCTTCCAGGGAAGGCCGAGGAGGCGCCCCCTGCTGAGGAGACTGATGCACAGCCGGTGAAGCGTGCCGCTGAGGAGGAGGAGGTGGGCTGGCACGCTCAGGATACCATTTTAACTGCTCATATTTACTGTTCTCTGATGTTTGCTGATACACAATGTTTTTCTTTTTTTTAGGAGAAGGTGGAGACAAAAAAGCAGAAGACGGAGGAGAATGGAGATTCGAAAGAGGCAGAAGTGGAGGCCTAGTCTCTGCCCTGCTGACCTGTTTGCAGCACTGTCTTACCAGCCTGGTCAACGCCGTGTTGTAGAGCTTGTGCTTTCTGTATCTTTAAGAGAGATTTCATTTTTTTGTTTGCTCCCATGTTACCACATTGCACTGGAGTCCTGAAACATAGTGGCCCTGCATCCTTTTTTTTTATGAGATGTTATTTATTGGTCTTTAAAATGAGCGTTTTTTCTACTTTGTACAAATTGGGCCACGCCATGAGATCAGTTTTTTTCATTTCCTGAGGTTTTGTATCGGTATGTTAGAAGCACAATCTCTATTATGTTCGTGCTGACCAGATGATTCATACACAGGCAGCTGCTCACCTCCAAGGCTCATGTTGACCTCTCAGACACACTTAAAGGACCAAAGATAAGTTTTAAGCGGGGGATAAATGACAGTTGTTAGCATTATTAGTTAAGGCGTGATTTTTTTGTGTTGAGCTGCTACTTAATCCTCGGCTGCCCTGTTAACATGACAGATGGTGCAAATGAATAGAGGGGCTCTGTGTTGCACCTCCATGGCAAGATTGTTTGAGCCCGTTCTGTGGAGGCAGGATTTTGCAATGTTAATTAACCCCTCTTAAATCTTAAAGCTTTGGTCATTTGTTCTGTATGCATTCCACGCAAGTTTGTACCATTTCTACTTTGTTTTTCTTACATTTTCGAGTTTTATGTTATGGTTGGGTAGCCCAGTTTTGTGTACAAGACTGCCTTTTTCAGAACCAGAATGACATTCGGTTACTTCAGCCACTGCTTTGTATATTCTGATTAACAAATAAATTGTCTTTTTACTTACGTGTGTGTGTGTGTGTGTGTGTTACCTGTCAGCGGATCGTCTGCGCTCTTTTAGAACTGTGGTATTATAAGTGGATGATGTCACTTGACCCAATTTTTCTTAACATGGAAAATGGCTGGCTTAGATGCAGGAAAGAGCAGGAATAATTTCACTCACTTGGTAATGGAAAAGGGTGCACACGGTCTACGAGCTGCCGTCTTGTGTGTCCTGGCGCCCCCGTGTGGCGGGATGGAAGACTGCAGCTCATTACCGCTCAGAGGTGACAGCAGGCTACAGCGGTGCTCGCTGACAACATGACAATAAGTGACACAGGAGTCGCAGGTGGCAAAATGATCATTTTAGTTTGAACTGAACCCTGAATAAAAGTAGCTTTTACAGTAACACTGCTAATATTGAGCAATAGGTGGTTCCATCTCACACAAAAACTCTGTTGAATTTCTTTCTCAAGCAAGCTGCAACAGCATGATCCGTACCGTTTCCTCAGAAACGTTAGCATGGCGTGCATCCAGTCAGTCCAGGAGGCTGTAATAGGCAATTATTGACATTCTGCTGAGGCACCAGAACGTTGGGGCGCTCAGTCGATGAAACCGTCACAACGAAAGGCTTCAGACACCAAAAGTCACCTCTTGTTAAAGCCCTGGAGTCAGGCTCGGTACCGGTGTTGAGGCTGAACGGACGCAGCATCCTGTTTGCCATGGCACAGCCAGATGTAGAAAATCAACTACGTGTACCGTTTAGCAGATGGACGATGGCTTCTTTAGGATGAAAAACGGATGAAGTTGGAAACCTCCAGTGAGGAACTTGGCTAATAAACGTGAGGTCATCACTACACTGAGTGGATGGGCCGAGCGTGGAGGAGCAGAAGCCTACTACGTTAAGCATGCGCCCTAATGATGGCGATAAGCACTTGCTGCCGGCTCTGCCAAACCCCCACAGTCTGTGTTTTTCTAATGGCGTCCACCTTCAGGGCTACCCACAGTTCACATGAGTCTTCTCTCTGTTTGCTGTTCTTCTGTTTTGTTCGGTTTCCGACTGAATGCTGATTCACACCCCAGTTTCAACTTCTCCTCTTCCTGATAATGACAAGAATCACTGTCATTATTACATTGGCATGGCCGGGGAGCAGGGTGACAGCTCACAGGGCCGTCCACGGCTCGCTGAGGGCCCAGACACAATTTGCCACCAGCACACATTTCTCTGTGTTTCTTAAAGGTTTGTGTACGTGTGTGCGTATATATATATGTATGTATGTCATCCTGCTAGTCACGGCTCTATGATGCTTAAGCTGATGTTGTACTCACACTTGGGACTCGATTAAGAGTCGCCCAGCACCAAACTGTGAAATTTGGGGATGGCACACTGGTCATAGTGACTGGATCGTGTTGGTTTGTATTTTTTTTCCGTTAAAACAATGTGAAGCCCTTCAAGACCGTGATTAAGCGTTGTGCAGATCCATGTGAATATTAAGTATGTGTTTGCTAAATTATGCTAAAAGAGCTCCTGAATTAATGAATCAACAGTGAGTGTGAACGGCCGCTGGCAGCACATTCGTTTAGTCAGAACGTCCTGCCTACGGCGTGATGCTAGTACGCTAACTCAGAGAAACAGGCAGGTAGACATTCCCTCGGCCGTATGACCAAAAACAAAACATTAACACAAGGCTTGGAGAGAGTATATTGCAGCTCATGCAGACGTTAGGCAACTGATAAAAGGGAGAAAAAAGAGGAGGGGAAAGCTGTGGTTAGCCTGCACGTAGTGGTCAACAGTTCTACCCTAAACACCAACCGACAAGCAAGAAAATGTGATGCAAGAATTTACAGCAAAGAATCAGACACAAGAGAGCTGATCTAGAAGTCACACACACACACACATGAGAAAGGTCACACATTCGTCTGCAAAAGTTAGGAAGAGATGCATGGGCACACACACTGTATGAACACACTGGTCATGTACTAGAGCTGTGGCCAGATGTCTGTCTGTCTGTCTGTCTGCTCTGAGGCGAGCAGTGCTGATTAGTGTAAAACAATATATGAGGTTGTGCTGTACAGTGTGCGGCGGCGGCAGGATGTACAGTGTGTTTGTCACTGTGAAGGTCAACACACTCAGACACTAAGCGACAGCGTGAGAGCGTGGCCGATGAGTGAGTGTGTGTGTGAGTGTGTGTGTGTGTGTGTGAGAGGTAAACTAAGAGGCTTGTCTAGATGTGCACCAGTAGTGGCTGGGTCTCACTATCGGGGGGCTCACCCTCAGGGGGGGGCAGCTGGTACACCACGCAGAGGGAGGAGTACAGGCAGCCCACGAATGACATCAGGCTTGCAAAGTACATCACTCCCTGGGCCCCACCCACCAGCGAGGTCAGAGGACCCATCGCCACAGAGACCAGGATCTGAGCCAGGAAGTACTGGCAGCTGAGCAGAGAGATGTCCACCCCCATCCCTCGCCTGGTCCCTTCCTCCGACGAGCCACAGAACTGAAAGACAACGATTCAGAGCGATCAGAGCAGCGCACCGCAAAACGTTTGGGCTTTAACATAAGAGTTTGACAGTTTGGGAAATGAGCTCATGTGCTTTCTCACCATGTCGCTACAGTGAATGTGAAGCTACAGCCAGCACCTGATTAGCTTAGCTTAGCTTAGCTTAGCTTAGCTTTGCATTTAGACTGTAAACAGAGAAACAGCAAGCGTGGCGCTATCCAAAGGCAGCAGAATCTGGCTGCCGGCACATCTAGAGCTCAAAAACAGTGTCATCGTTACATCTTTGTGTAAAGAAAAGAGCTATGACCGGCTCATGTGCTCCAGAGGAGCTGCTTGTACTGCCCCCATGCTCCCAGTTTTTGTACCAGCTATGAGGGAACTTCAAAAAGTTCTCGGCCTCACCAGAACATGTCACAGGAACAAGATTGTTCTTGCATTTTTGTTCAAGTGTCTTTTAACTTCAGTGCACTTGGTTTATGGATGCTGAAGCTTTGCTATCACATCTTCCAGATACTCCTCAGAAACAGATAAAAGTCAGAGGGTGTCAGGTCAGGTGACTAAGGTGTGTGGGGCAACAGTTCAAAGCCACCTTCATGGACAGGTTCACTGTCCTGGAGCATTTGACTTTTGTGGACAATCAGGCTTTACGGTACAGTTAAGCCCCAGAATAGGAGTTAAGCCTCATGTTTTCAGGTAAGGCCAAGAACCTGTTTCTAAAGTACCTCCATAAGCTGGCTGTGTCTTCATTTGTGTTAAACGCGACATGACAGCGATCATCGTCTCATTTCCCAAGTGTTGAACTCCTCCTTTAAGTTGACAAACGGCATCATGTGGGTACTGACCTGAGGGCTCTGGTAGTATTCACACAGCAGAGAGTAAGGCAGCGTACATAGAGAGGAGAAGAGCACCCCGTAGGTGACACACAGAGAGAGGACCACGTAGAGGTTGGTGGACAGCGTGGCCAGGCCTGTGCCCAGACCAAACGCCAAGTAGGCAAAAAAATATAGAGTGCGAAGAGAGAAACGCTCCTCCAGTTTCTCCAATATGGCTGGAAGGTGCAGAAGATAAACAAATGTCAGACAGACTCCACCAGGTAGGAAACGACTCTGCACTCACATCGCCGACAGGAGGCTTACCTGAGTAGAAAGCAGCACTGAATGCATAGATGCACATGCCCCAGCAGCCCATGCTGACACCAGCGTTGTAGCGTTGGTAGGCCTCAGAGTCGTGGGGTGCTTTGGGGTCTCCTTCAAACACAACCTCCCCCATGAAGTCAGTGTAGAAGAGCAGCATCCCTTCAAAGGACAGCCAGCCTACATCCCACAGAGGACCAAAGTAAAGCTCACATGGTTCAGGTTTCAAAGTGTTTTAAGAGAAAAAATCAGATTTAAACACATTTTTCTCACCCAGAAAGTGATTAGTGCACAAACTCCGCAGAGAGGGAGGCATCCTGTAGATGGCTATACACAGCAGCTTCATGGACATTTGGGACTCTCCCGTCTCCACGTTCTCACTCAGATCACTTTCATAGCGCACCCCATTCAGCAAAATGTTTGCAACCTACACCAGAGGGAAAAACAGCAACATGTTTAAAACATGCTGTGGTGGCCGTTCACCAATCAGCTCCTGTGTTTTTATATCAACGTGTCTGACCTGCTGGCTGAACGTCACTGTCCTCCTGCGTCCATTCTCCAGCCCAACAATCTGGGTTGCCATGGGCTCCTCCATCAGTGCCAGACTCTGCGGTCTCTTCAGGATGCCGGCTGTGGAGCCCCGATGTGACCCTGCACCAGGCTGAGCCCCAGCTGTGACCTGAGATGCCCCAGACTGTGCATCTCCCTCAGGCTGAGGCTCTTCTGCATTTTGAGCATCCCCAGATGGATGAGACTCTACGTCAGCCTGGGTCTGCACTGCAGGACTGCTCCCTGGACCCTGCGTGGTCTCCTCAGGAGGCGGGGAGTCCCCTGGTGGCAGGGGCACAGTGCTGGCGCTGGGGGCCTGGCCCTGGGGGGTCTGCTGACCTGTGTAGCAGTCTATAAGCACACTGTCTATGTAGGAGGTCCCTAATGAGGAGGCAAACTCATTAATGCCAGTGAGCGAGCTGTCCCTACTTATAAAGCTGCCATATTTTGGAGTGAGGGGGCTCAGGGGCGATATCGGGCTAGTGAGGCCCGCGCAAAGACGTGCACTGGCGCTGCAGGAGTGGGCCAAGGGGTCTGGATTGCATGGCTTTGAGAAATTGTAACTGTACAGACCGTCCTCGTCTTCCTCATCCAGGCCCAGAGCCACGCCGGGGGGGACGGGAGGAGAGGGAGGAAGGGGGAGGCTGGGGCTCTTCAGATGGTTTTTGCTGGAGTTCTTGTTTGGCTGGCTCTTTGGTAAGGGCCGTTCAGGGATACTCAGGAGAGTCATGGCTGTGGATATCACCAAAGTGATGCTCGTAAACACGTATATGACCCGCAGCTGGCCTCCCATCGAGCGCCCAAACTGTGTCTGGTCCCAGTTGATGCCACCGACAATGTAGCCGAATCCACCTCCCAGTCCTGCGCAGAGAGATGAAACAGAACAGTTCAGAAGGTTCATGTGTTTGTAAAGCTGCCGTCTTCTATGCTGCTGGAACACAACTGAGAATCGAGTGTATACCGACCCGCCAGTAGCGCGTGGATGTTCAGCCCCCGGTCCTGGTCCTCTGGGCTGCACACATCCATCATGTAGGCATGGCTCGGGTTGTCGGCTGAATCAGCGCTGAAGTCCATCAGAACCACACCACACACTGTCAGGATGATTCCCCACTTGTGATTGGCTGCTGTGTCAGCCACAACACTCCCAATGTCCCGTCCATTCAGCACCAGTGTGAGGCCGACCAGGGCCCCTACAAACAAACAGAGACGTAGTGTCTTAACTGTGCCTTCGTGTTAAACAGACATCCTGCCACTTCTCCGTTACCGGGATGCTAAACAGTTGGTGTATTCTGTGGTTTTAAAGTTTTGTGACGTCTAAGTGGTCAATCATATCAGCTGCAAAACAAAAACACCATTTTCAGAACTGAGGACATGGAGATTGCTGTCTGTGAGGAAGATCTAATGATGGAGCTGCATTCTGAGAAGCCGTAATCGGATCTTTTAGCAGGTTTTGCTTCCTGCTGCTTTGATTTTGCTTCAATCGAAATTGAATTTGTCTCATGCAAGTTCTCCAACTTAATGAGTCAATGCAAAGTCAGTGCAGCAGTCATTAGCATGTCTTACCGATAGCTAAAGCAAAAATAAAGGGTCTCCTTCGCCCAAACCGGGATGTGCATCGATCACTCCATGCTCCTATGAGCGGCTGAACGAGGAATCCTTTAAACCAAAGACAGGACAGAGTTGAGACTCCACACATGATCACTGCTGTCAAACATCACATTATGTTGCATCACAGCCTCCTTTCGCTGCCCACTTACCGAGGATGGGGCTGATGAACCACACCAGGCTGTAGAACTGATCAGGGAGGCCCATCTGTAAGAGCACAGGAGTCACATAGGCCGTTTCCATGGCGTAGCTGAATTCAATACCGAACAGGATGCAGCCGTTGAAGAGCAGCTCTTGGAAGGTGCGTCTCGGGGGAAGCTCGCTGAGGTCCAGCTGGTCCAGAGGGCAGGGCGTGTTGGGCGGCGGAGGCGGTGAAGGTCGTATCAGCTTCCTGCGCTTTGGCTGTCTTTGGAAGTTGTTGGCTCTGTGACTGAGGTGCCGGGTGGTGGACGTTGGGAAGCTGGCAGTTTTGGGGAGTGAGCTCCTCCAGATACCTTCCTGAGCTGTGGATAACCTCCCCCCTGGACTGGCCAGGAGGGGGTCACTGGGGGTGCCCATGCCTGGAGATGACATCTCTGTCAAGCCAGCGTACACTGCAGCAGATAAACGGGGATAAACAATGAGTGGCCACAGCTCAGGAGGATGAAACTTTGTTGTGCTTTGGTGTCTCAGCTTAGAGGTCATTCAAGATCAGCCGTGTAGCATACTGTGGAGTTACTTGGTGCTGCTAATGCTTGTGTAGTGCTACCAAGAGGACACTGCAGTCATGAGCAGCAGCAGCAGCAGCAGCAGCAGCGACGGGCACGACGCACTGCAACCAGTGCGCATGCTGTGCGCAGAGCCCATGTGCTCGGCGTGGCTGACTACAGCACTGTACTATGCGGCACCGCTCTCATGACGCCTGTTTCCATTTTAATTTTTCATGTAGGAAGCTCAAACCGGACACAATGGAGCCGCTGAGGGTTGTAGCGCAGGCTGCCGAGGCGGTTACCGGGATAACGGAGCTCTGTCGCGCACGTTTAGACCAAACATTTGACAAATAGAGAAGCGATGCGGCCGCGCAGGCTCCGTAGATTCATTCCCTACTCGCTGCTTTTTGGTAAATGATCGTCGATGTTTCCCTCGACTTGACATCAGGTTCTAAAGGTGCAGAGCAGACAACCGAGCGGACTAGAAGATGAACAAGGCGTGCAAACGGAGGCGATAATTACCTTCTCGGGGCGGCGCGTCATTTATTGCGGCACACAGTGAGCGGAGCGAGCATGAGGATGCGTAAAGAGCGCAGGATGAATTACAGCAGTCATGACTGCTTTGTTTTGTTTTCCTTTGATGCAGTCATCCCCCCGCGCTCCTCCGTCCCTGCTCCTTCCCCCTGTCATCCGCTCCCCTCCGCGCGCGTCCTCCTCCCGGTCTCTCCCGTGACGTCACGCCCCTCCCTGCAACATCAGCACCGACAACACATCTGTCCGCTCACACACCG